GTCCAGGTACCACCAGGTCAGGATACGGCAGGAGGACATGGAGAAGACCGCGTTCCGGACTCGTTATGGACATTACGAGGGGGCAATCCCATTATGCTTTCATTACAATCGGGTGGGCCATGAGAAGGCCAACTATCCGACGACGAGGGGAGGATTAGTGAGCACACCTACTCCAGACACTTTGACGATCACTGACGGACGAGAGGGTGGAGCAGGAGCCCTAGCAGAGAGGAGTCGGACATTACAGTGACATGCAGGAGAGATCAGGATTATAGCAGGCGACGTTGCGGGTATGTGCCTTTTGCTCTTTTCAGTTCTATCCGTATTTTGTGTTTGTTCTCTTGCATCGGGATTGAGCAAGTATATATATGGGATCAACCCTCTGCTTATGTTTGGATTATATTTTCAAGAAATGTCATATGCCAATTGCATACCGTGAATTATTGAGTAGTTAGAGAAGGTCGTTCCCTCTTTGCTGCATCGGGGTGTTCAATGTTCTCTCGGTTCGTAGTAGAGATCGGTCAGTGGTATTATGTGGAAGGCATGTGGTTAGATTCATCAAGCTAGTCCACCTTTATCGACGGGATATAGTGGTTTCATCACCTGTTCCAGTATGAGCGACGATGGCCTAAGGGAGAACTTATGGGTTTTAGCACTACCGACGCTAGGATTGGAGTGGCAGCGGAAGAATATGGGTGTGATCGCATGGGTTGTTCGACCATTAAGATGTTCCAAGGGAATTATATTTTTCGCATGGGTCGTGTTTGATTAGATTTCAGTGGTTCTGTGAGGATTCGACAGTTAGAGTAAAGGTTAAGGTTTCTAGTCGCCAGCATGGGAACTTAAGGAGTTGGTATAGTAGCACGAGAAGTGGATTGATGTATCAGATTGGACCAGAATTCAAGAGTACTCTTCAAGATTTCAGATAATGTACGATCTTAGGGTTTGACGGGTAATTGATCGCTAGCATGGGTGAGCGCAGGTTGTCGACAGTGGACTATTAGGAAGAAGAAGGATTGGGAATCCTTCAATCCTCATGTACCGTGAAGACTTAGTAGGATCTAAGTGGGGGAGAATCGATCAGGTATTCAAGAGCAGAAATAGGTGTGAATCCCAAAATCTATCACTCCTTGGCCAAAAACCCTCAAAAAGGAGAAAATAAAAGATCTAATGAACTAATGATCAAGTTAGAGACTTGATTACCAAAAAATGATGGAAATGAGATGGTGTTGTTGGATCTACTAGCTTCCTTCTAAATCTCTAAGCTTCCTCTCTTCTTCACAAGCTCCAAACACACACAAAACTCTCAAAAACAAGCTCACGAGCTCAAGGATGCACTAGGGTTTCGTGGGTTAGGGTTTGGGGCAATGTAGGCTGTAAATGAGGCCAAGGGGTAGAGAATGAGATGCTTAAATAGGGTACATAAACCCGAAATTAGGGTTTCCCAAACCCAGACCTACTCGTCGAGTTGGTCCCCCAACTCGTCGAGTAGATCACTTAACCCGCGACCCAAAATCCACCTCTACTCGTCGAGTTCCTCCCTGGACTCGACGAGTAGCCTTCTAGATTTAGGGTTTTCTTTTCTTTCTTGGTCTTCTGAATTCCGGGTATTACAAAAACATTTTCTATTTAATCACTTAATCTACATGTTGAGAAATTAGCAACAATAAGTTGTTTATGGAAAAAAAAAATAGTAATAAGTACTGAGTTCAAAGGTATATGCACTGTTTATTGTAATTTATGTTATTTGTTTATGAAAATAAATTAAAAAAGGGTAGGCACGTTGGTTTTGCAATATGCAAAAAAAAAAAAAAAACACACACACAAAGTCATAAACGGAGCACGTAAAAAAATCAAATATTAAATTTGATTTTATTTAATCCAAACGCAAAAAAGTCTTATCCATTTATATAATTTAAATTGATTGACCTATTTGTTTTGAAACAAAATAAATACACACCATTTACAATTTGATCAAATAATAATTGATGAATGAAGAACAAAAGCATTTGGATTTTTATCCTTTACAAGTTCGATTCTTTCATTAAACATGTATAAACAGTTAATAATGATAAGAACCGAAACAAATAGAATAATTATAACAACTAACTAGAAATCGTTGGGTAGAACATATAATTTTGAAGCGTCAATAGAGCGCAAGTAGAATATGATGCAGGTATATATGAAGCGTAAAGACTAACCATCGATTTTTAGTTTGGAATGGATCAATATTCCGATTTCTTGCTATTAAGTTTAAGTCAAATATAATTTATGTTTTTTAAACATCTTTGTCTTTATATTCAAATAAAAAAATTGTTTTTGGGACAAATGTCATTTTGATATTTACCCGTCTTATTGTTTTTCTGCTCATCCTCTCCAACTTAATCTGGTTCTTGATTGTGGCAAATATCCTCTCCAACTTAATTTGGTTTTTTATTGTGGCAAATATGTATTTGAATGACATTGCAATAGTAGACTTTTTAAAATATAATGTTGTAATAGGAAGAAATGAAAGTATGATTTCCTTAATTATAAAATCAATGAAAATACATTATTATTTCTTGAGTTAATTTGGCCGAATCCCTCTTTGTATTTTAGGTTGTTGAAGAGGCATACACAAATTTGTTACCACATGTATAGTGAGGATACGAGCGGAATGTTTTTGTGTATTGCTGTGTGAGAAGCAACTACAACCGTAATGAGGAAATGTTTGCATCTTTTGGGCATTCCTTTTGTCAACAAAATTGGGAAAATGACTCTTGAGCGTAATTAACTTTTGTGTTTGTACTCACTTGGTCCCTTCCCTTTTTTTGTATTCAATATACCATCGAACTTGTTGTTTGTGTTCACCATAACCCTTTTGACCTGTGATAGCCGGTCAAAGGGTTATGGTGAACACAAACAACAAGTTCGATGGTATATTGAGTACAAAAAAATAAAAGGGACCAAATGAGAACAAATGCAACAGTTGGTTACCCTCCTGATTCATTTTCCCTTTACTCATTTACAGCAAATCCCACGTCATCTCCTACTGATATTAATGACTTTATGAGATTCATTATTGTTTCTCTTCAAAACATAACCCACGAAAGAACATTATTCATACATGTACAACTTTGTAATGCACTTGAATATTTATTAGGGGAATCTTGACTAAGCAGACGCATTTCATGGCTACATTTACATTTCCAATCAAATGATTTATCGTATCATGGATTCTAGACAAGTCTACAAACGAGTGGAATCACAAGTGTTGTGATTTTTGAGTTTACTTAGCTTTAAGATCGAGTTCATGGGATAAGATACAACATCATGCTGCTTTTGTAGACACATCACCATAATATACCTTGAGGTAAACGTTTATGCTGATAAATATACCTCTCATACACAGTCATATCCTTTTGCAGAGAGGTGTTAACAGCTAACCACAATAAGCATAGCATAGACCATGTTTTAACGAGGTTACCCCTTTGAAACGCTCTTCATATACGTTATAGCCAAAGAAGGTTGCAGTCTTTTATAATTTTGCAACTTTAATTTCATTTAACTTTTCGGGGAAAATGACTCAGGAGGGTAACCAACTGTTGAGTTTGTTCTCATTTGGTCCCTTTCCTTTTTTTTACTCAATATACCATCGAACTTGTTGTTTGTGTTCACCATAACCCTTTGACCGACTATCACAGGTCAAAAGCCGGTCAAAAGGGTTATGGTGAACGCAAACAACAAGTTCGATGGTATATTGAATACAAAAAAAAAGGAAAGGGACCAAATGAGTATAAACGCAAAAGTTAATTACCCTCATGAGTCATTTCCCCAACAAAATTTGATCTTTAATTTTACAATTTGGACCCTAAATAATTCGATTTAGCTCAATATACCCTTCAAATTTGTAAATATTCACATGTGTTGTCTTTTTTTTTTTTGATAATACAACAATATATGATACAATTGACACATTGTGTCAAATAAATAAAAACTAAATAATATATTTGCAAATCAAACCATCTTATTTTTTATGGCCTAAAAATTTAACAAAATTTGACAATTACTTATCCAAATTAATTATAGGGGAAATGACTTATTAGGGTAATTAACTATTGCCCTTATACTCAATTGGTCACTTTTTTTTTTTTTTTATCTCATTTACCGTTGAACTTGTTGTAGGTGTTCACAGAAACCATTGAAACCGGCTATTGAAGGTTTCCGATAATTTCTTATCTCCGGCGACTCTTCGGTCGTCTTCTCCGGCGAGCCTCCGGCAAAAATGAGTTTTTCCGGCAGACTTTTCTCGACTGCCATCCAAGCGGCATCCACCGCCGGTGTTGCTGCTTAGCTTTCTCCACCCTCCCCTCTCTCCCTCCTGTCGATTTGCTGCCAGAAAAAGGAAGAAGGGACGCAGGCAGCAAGCCACCTGCCACCTCCTCCTGCCATCACCGGAACCCACCTGCCACCTCCCTTTTGTCGCCAGTTAACCACCATTACCACCTCCTGCTGCTTGCTGCTGTTATAAGTCATCAAGCCGAGACCCAATGATCCGTCGGAAATCTCATTTTTGCCGGAGGCTCGCCGGAGATAAGAAATTGCCGGAAACCTTCAATAGCCAGTTTCAGTGGTTTCTGTGAACACCTACAACAAGTTCAATGGTAAATGAGATACAAAAAAAAGGAAAGTGACAAATTGAGTATAAGAGCAACAGTTAATTACCCTAATAAGTCATTTCCCCCTAATTATTATGTTATTTTAATTTATTTTCCGGTGTGGTACACGAGTAATACTACTATCATATAATGTCATCTGCTTGGCACGTGTAAGAACAATTATTTTTCCCCCTGCCCACACATACGCCACGTTTCCAAGTACTGCCACGATACAAGTGCAAATTTACCGAAACAACCTTTTCAATTCCTCCATTCTTGTTATGTAAGTTTGATGATTTGGTATGTTGGAGTATATTTTCACCAAAATTCAAACTCATTAGCATTTGCGCCAAACCAAAGAAAATGAACTACGAACAGAGATTAATCGCCGCCGCGAAGTGCGTATTCGAAGGAGATGCCCGCGCCGCTACCGCGGAGGCTCAAGTCAACTGTTCCGACTATGGTGTAACGGCGACCCTTAAGCCTCACCAAATTGAAGGACTCTCATGGCTCATACGGCGATACCTTATCGGTGTCAACGTTATTCTCGGTACGCAATTCGTTTCAGTTTTGTAATCTAAGATTCTGTTGCAAGTTTTGAATTTGTCCTCATTTTTTGGGAAATAATCTGTTCGTTGACAATTTACTCAAATGTCTTAGACTCTTAGTTTGGGCAAATTTTGAGTTCATCAATCCTTGCCACTTATGCTAGAGAACTGTCTCTCAGTATGTTTTCATGTAAATGTTGTATGCATATGTTTAGAGAATCGCAAACGTTAAGATGATTAGCATATGGTACATTATTTAGAAATTAGAATAACGACCTAATCCCAAATTGGAACCCTTTACATTTGTGTGGTTTGACCCATAACGAGCCTTTTTTGGGCATTTTCACCATCCAACTTTCATCAAAGCAAGTGAGTGTCTCCTCAGTCATCTAATTATCTTCCTAATTGAGAATGATGGAAGTGCTGTTTTTGCTTATATGAACTGTTAAATGTAGACATGAGGAGACTACATTGATAAAAGTAACACCTCAGTTTCATCAAGGTTAGCTTCATCCCGTGATTTCAATTTAAAAAAAAAAAATACCTTTTCTTGTATTGGTTGGGATCTCATAAAGAGCCAAAATTGAGATTAGGGGATGCAAGATGCTTTGTTGGAGTGACAGAGTTTATAATCTCACTACTTGAATCAAGCTGATGATCACTATTCGATTGAGAGTAATAAACTTGAAAGTTGAAACACAACTTGCAGATGAAACCAAAATTGAAAAACTTAAACTTGAACCATGATTAAACTTGAATCAGCCCTTGACCATGAACTCGAGCCTTGAACTACCCTTGAGTAATCATTTCTTCACTGAAAATGTAAAAAGCTCTCAACTGGTTCAGTTTATCTGTGAAGTAGCCTTGGTTAATTGAATTTGAATTCATGCTATTATGATGGTCACTTAATATTTTTTTGCTAGCATTTTGTTTCATTGTAGTAATACTATCTACTCAAGAATATGAATTGTGGTGACTGGGTTGTTTTGTTTCATGTGTTTGCAGGAGATGAGGTATACTTGCATTTCTACATCGAAACTGGAAGCTTGCAAAGTTTTATTGAAATCTCTTACTTACATTCTAATTGTTGAATTGGCAACTAAAACATTAATGAAAATAATGCAAAAATTAAACCTTTTCATCCACCTTCTTTAAGAAAACAATGTGCACAGTAAAGAAGCCAAGATTAGTCCCTAAAAAACTGAAACCAAATTCTCAAAATTGGTAAACTAAATAACACCAAACATATCAAACAACTGCAACTGGAAAATCCCATATCAATTTTTGGAGAAATCATGTAATAAAATCATGAAATTATGCCACTTTAATTCTAGAATTCCATGGTTAACATAAAGGGTATTCAATATGAGTATGGTTGTTGGGATTTAGTCCCACATAGATAGAAAATAATTAAATTATTCACTTTATATGTATAATCTACCTCCCTTATCAAATATTGCAAGTCAAAATAATTTTCCTTGCTTTGATGGATTTAGTTGATTGTTTTTGATTTTTTTATAAGTGAAGTAGAATTATGTACATAAAGTGAATAATTCACTTATTTTCCATCTATATGGGACTAAATCCCCACATTTTTTTTATTCAAATTCTTGTACTCATCCTTTAAATGGTTACTAACAGATGGGGCTTGGAAAGACATTACAAGCCATCTCATTCCTAAGTTATTTAAAGTTTTCTCGTGGATTACACGGACCCTTTTGTAAGTAATCAAAAAATTACTTTGCTAATTGTAACATAACATGTTGTGATTATTTATTAATTCTTTCATATATGTCTTGTACAGTGATACTCTGTCCTCTCAGTGTAACTGATGGATGGGTATCAGAAGTCAACCAATTCGCCCCAAAGTTGACCATTCTTCGTTATGTTGGAGACAAACAACACAGACGTACTTTGAGAAGAGAAATGTTTGAACATGTGCAAAAACAATCATCACCACCCAATGTAAGTAATAAGTAGTCCAACAAGTTCTTGCTGACGTGGATGTGCATGCTGATGTGGCGTTGAGTTTTTCAGGTGCAGGCGTTACCTTTTGATGTGCTCCTTACAACATATGATATAGCTTTAATCGATCAAGACTTTCTTTCTCAAATTCCATGGAATTATGTTGTTATTGATGAGGCTCAAAGACTTAAAAATCCTTCCAGTGTAGGTTTTAACTTTTTAAGACTAGTTTTTTAGTTTCTTTAAAGTGTGTTTCAGGTTTATTGATTGTTTGATTGTTTTTCAGGTTTTGTATAATGTTCTCAGAGAGAGTTATATGATGCCTAGGTGTCTACTCATGACTGGAACACCTATTCAGAATAGTCTTACTGAACTTTGGGCTCTTTTGCATTTCTGTATGCCTTCAATCTTTGGGAGATTGGAGCAATTCTGCTCTAAATTTAAAGAAGGTAAAGGTGCACCAGTAGATAAGGAGAAGTTCAAAAGCTTAAGATATATTTTGGGGGCATTCATGCTTCGAAGAACAAAGTCTAGGCTTATTCAGAGTGGGACCCTTTCTTTGCCACCTCTTACTGAAATCACAGTGTAAGTTTCTTACAATGACTCTTCTTTGTTCTCCATTTCATTTTGTTTTCCCATTTTTGAAAATCGTTCAACCTTTTCTCATATACCTTTTCATTCAGTTAAAACTATGGGGTGTGTTTGTTTCGTTGTCAATTCCATTCTTCCTTTTTATTAAAAGACCAAAATACCCTTATTATTACTTTAGATACCAATTTTGTTAACAAATTCCATTTTGTTCTATCAGGATGGCTCCATTGGTGACCTTGCAGAAGAAGGTGTATATGTCAATACTAAGAAGAGAGCTTCCTAAGCTTCTAGCATTGTCTTCTGGAACTTCTAGTCATCAATCCTTGCAGAATATTGTAAGCCAACCCAACATCTCTCCTTCTAGGCTTACTATCATGAACATTTAGCAGGAAAACATTTTGTCATGGCTTGTTAGTTTTTAACCAAAATTAGACAAGGGTAAATTAGTCATTTTTCATAAATTTGATGACTGGACAAAAAGTGTTATAAATCATTGCTGATGGGACTTAAAATGAAAAAAAGGATTCCTTTTGGACCGTATTCAAAGAACACAATATAGTACGGGGACCAAAAATGTAAATTACTTGAGAAGTAGTACTTGATTGCTTGTGTTAATGCAGGTAATACAACTACGTAAAGCATGTAGTCATCCTTACCTCTTTGCTGGTATAGAGCCAGAACCATATGAAGAGGGTGAACACTTGGTTCAGGTATAAAAAATATATCATCTCTATTTATTTATAAAATCATACAAAATGTTAGTGATAAATTTGAAATCTTTATGATTTCTTTCAGGCAAGTGGCAAGCTGGTAGTCTTAGACCAGCTACTTCAGAAGCTACATACTTCTGGACACCGTGTTCTTCTGTTTGCACAGATGACACACACACTTGATGTATTGCAGGTTTACTTCCTTCTTTTTGCATAAAAAAAACTGCCAGCTGTCAGCTACTCAGCCATGCTTATGTATATCCATTAAACTTTTTTGGAAAATCTTGAAATACAGGACTATATGGAGTTAAGAAAATACCCTTATGAGCGGCTTGATGGATCCATTAGGGCTGAAGAGCGGTTTGCTGCAATAAGAAGTTTTAGCCGAAAGTCCGGAATTGGAAATTGCAATTCCGAAGCTGATTACGACTCTGCATTTGTCTTCATGATTTCCACCAGAGCAGGGGGAGTTGGGTTGAATCTTGTAGCTGCTGACACTGTGAGCTTTGCAATACTACCATCCCTCTCTCTCTCTCTCTCTCTCTCCTTTGACTTGGTCCCATTGTTTGACTGAGTATTGTACAAAAATAAATGCAGGTTATATTTTATGAGCAAGATTGGAATCCACAGGTGGATAAGCAGGCGTTACAGAGGGCCCACAGGATTGGTCAAATGAACCATGTGATGTCCATCAATTTAGTCACTGAACGCACAGTGGAGGAGGTGAGTCAAAATTTAATTATGTTGTTAAAAGGAGTGAAAGTAGGTTGGTTGGTATTTTAAACCTTTGAATTGAATGAATATCCCTTGTAGGTTATCATGCAGAGAGCAGAGAGGAAGTTGCAACTGAGTCATGATGTGATAGGTGAAGATGATAATACAGACAAGGAAAAGGAATGCAAAGACATGGTAGGAGTTGCTCCAACTGATCTTCGATCTGTTATACTGAGTCTACACATACTCGATCCCAAACAGAATTCAGATCATCAATTAGACATGTCAAAATTGAATGATATAATCGATAAGGTGATCGCCTTCCGACATGGCGGAAATGATCCAACGGTTGAGATCGATTCAAATGATGTATTACAATTAGGTGGACATGGAAGACATGATGTTGACTTTGACCCTGGTGTTGATGAAGCTTCGTATCTTTCGTGGGTTGAGAAGATCAAGGAGACATCGGAGAAATGTGATGAGTCAGCATTGGAGGAGGAGAGAAATAAGAGAAGTTTAATGGTAATGGAGGAGAAGAGAGTGAAAGCGGAGTCTGTTAGGAAGAAGGCTGAGGAGAAGAAATTGGCGAAATGGGAAGCTCAAGGGTATGAGTCATTGGATGTGAAGGATGTTGTGGGCCCTACCAATAATATGCTTTTGGATTCTGGTCTGGTGAATTTTGTCTATGGAGATTGTACACAGCCTTCTAAAGTTTCTCCCTCTGACTCCTCTATAATTTTCAGGTGATTACTCTTCTTGTTTTTTTTATATACAGCATTCTAATTCTTGCTCATTAAAATGTAATTAAAAAAAAAAAATAGCTGTGTTGATGATTCGGGGAAGTGGGGACATGGTGGTATGTTTGATGCATTAGCTAAGCTTTCACCTCAAATTCCATCTGCATATGAACGAGCTTCTGAATTTGGGGACCTTCATCTTGGTGACCTCCATCTTATACAAGTGACAGGTCAGCATCTTAATATCTTAGTAAGACAATTAATTTTTTTAGTTGTTCTAGAAAGTGTTAGGAACATTGTGCAGGTGGTGACGTGGACAATAACAACAACAATAATAAAGGACGTGAGTGGGTGGGCCTAGCTGTTGTCCAATCGTATAATCCCAGACGGAAAGTGCCACGTAGCAGTATCTCTATTTCTGATCTGGAACAGTGTCTCTCAAAAGCTTCATTTTCAGCTGCTAAAAATTCTGGTATTTTTTATATTATTAATATTATATAATTATTTTCATTATTAATTTATTATTGTGAATAAAATAAATAGCTTCGATCCATATGCCACGAATTGGGTACCAAGATGGGGCAGATAGGTCAGAGTGGTACTCAGTTGAACGTCTTCTTCGAAAGTATGCTGCTTTATATGGCATAAAGATATACGTGTAAGTCCACCTCCATTATTTTATTTAAAAATTATGCAAAAAAAAAAAATAAAAAAAAGTAAAAAACGAATCGAAAGTTGGTGTAATTTAGAAGAACTGGATTTATGATTTTCAGGTACTATTTTCGGCGAAGTTCGTCTTGAGAGTTGTGGAGGCAAGTGAGTTCTTCATATCTACTTTAACTTCATATAGCTTTATACTATTGTATCTTATTCAGTTTAGTAACTTTTTATGTTATGTTGTATAATTTTTTAATGTTATAATTTACATAGGTATTGTAATATAAAATGTATATATAAATTGAATTACTAATAAAACAAACTAGTAAACAAAAAAGGCACTATTGGGAATTTATATAAGAAAAGAAAGTGTATATTCATAAGAGAGAATAGATATAATGTATTTGAAGACAAATACTCTTTAGAAATGAATGATTGTGAAAGAGAAGTAAACCAACTAGCCAAGTATAATTCTTTACATTAAAGGGAGTGGGGTGATGTATATGTTATGTTGTCATATCATTTTTTGGCATGTCACCTAGGAGTATCTCCAATAGAAGGTTTATTATTATACATTTTTTTTAAATGACCACTTAATAATATTGAAAAAGATAGCTATTTTGCTTGCTTATTTTCGCATCTTGTAAATGTATCACCTTCTATTTTAACCATATATCAATCTGCCCTTTCACTTATAACCTAGTTTTAAATATTTTTTATTTATGTACTTATTAATTATTCTATATAAATACTAATAACATTTTATTTCTAAAATTCAATTGTTATGACAGTAATATAATATTTTTAATGTTTTCATTTTATTTTTATAACTATATCATAATTTTTTTTTTTTTTTTTTTTTTTTTTTTTTTTTTTTTTGTATTTTACATACATAAGTAATGAACCGATATATATTTATTAAAAAATCATTTTGTTTAAAAATAAACAACTAAATGAGGGGGTTTTATAAAACATTTTTAAAAAGACGAGATAAATTAATAAAAAAAACTATTTAAATAAGCTTAATTATTAGAGCAATCATTTTTTAATGTAGAGGTCAAGATTAATGAAATGATGATGTGACACTTATTTTAAATCATAACATAATTTAACCATCGAAGATACTCTAAGTATATAATGATACTACCATTGAAGCATATCATGATACCAGGGAATGGTGGTGAGTTTGGTATTAAGTTTGGAAGAAAAAAAACTAAAATAAAAGGTCTCTCTCTGACACGTGGTGCTCTCCCCTAGCGTGCTAGGGGACGGTGTTGGCGTGTGCTAACAAGCTTGGTGAGTGGGCTTGATGCACCCACTTTCTGTGGTCTTATGTTAATTAGGCAGTTTTATCAAAATAGTATAGTTATAATTGTCTATATTTTAATTTCTAATATCGTTGTAAAAATTATATTAAACCATAGTTCTTTTAATAAAGAAAATGACAAGAAATAAATGTTTACATATTTGAGTTTTTAGTTGGTAAAAAAATCATTACCGACTATGATAAGACTTAAAAAAAGGTCTAAGGTTTTAAAAACAACTTTATATAATTTATTATCTTATAATATTCTTACTATGTTTTCTTTATTTTAGCAAATTAATCTCATTGTAGTATTACTACTGTATTTTTTTTAACTCATTCAGATAAGTTGGATCACATAAAGTATTATATTACTGTAATATTAGTATATTTTTTCGTTGCCTTAGGTGATTATCTTATTATAATATTATTTTTGTTTGATTGTCAAGCCAACATATAAAAAATATTTAAACTTTGTTATGTTCACAAAAGAGCAGTGAAAGTAGGGTTCATGTCCTCGTGGATAGAATAGTATAATGCTATATGAAGTTAAAGTAGATAAGACTTGAATAATCAATGGTAAAAACATCTAATTTCAAGTCTATTTCATACTTCGACTAAAGGAATAATGTTGGTCTAGCGGTAGCCTGGTAGGGGAGATATCATCTTGAGATTGATGATTCAAGTTCCTGAGACATGTAGAAGTCAAGAGTAGTATAATAATAGATTAAGAACCATTTGATGGTTAATATTTTTAATTCCTAAAACAATTAAACATTAAAAAAAATAAAATAAGGTTGTGAGAATTGGTCTTATCTTAAAATGACCAACATAAATAAAAAAAATAAATTAGGATGTTAATTCAAAACCAAACATGCATCACTAAACCCAAACCCTTTCCAAAATCAATTCAACGACTAAGGGGCTGTTTGACAGGATCTGAATTTTTAAGATCTGAATTTTTAAGAGGTCTGAATTTCTAAGAGGGTCTGAAACTTTAAGATTTGAATTTTTAACATGTTGTTTGGTTGGAACCTCTGAATTGCTGTGTTAAATTTTAAAATGACCATTTTACCCTTCAGTGTTATGTTTTTTTGTTGAATTCAATGTTTATGTTTACAAAATAACCAAACCAACTTCTTGAAGATTTATAACAAAAGTATAAACACAATACAAAAATCCAAATTAAAAAAATCAAATCAAACATAAATATTTGACAATAATCAAATCAAACAATGCTCTAATATAAAGAGGTAAAAGTATGATGCTATAATAAATAAATAAATAAAAGTACATTACTATTTCTTGTATTTAACCCTTACAAAACAATCTTACAATAACTATGAAAACAACCTGAACTCTATGCTTATATGGATCAAATTACATGTATACAATCCAATTCAATTACACATCTTGACAAGTACAATACCCTTATCTAAGAGAACACAAAGAAAAACTTTGAATAAATCAGAAAATTGAAACCATTCCATTCATTCTTTGTGTTCCAAATCAGTGATATGTGGTTAGTTACTGGTGATTGTCTTGAACCTTTCTTGTCCAACAATATCCCACTGCATAAACACTATCCCACTGCATAAACATGGACCATTCAACATTAGTTTCATACAAATACAGTCATATATATATATATATATATATATATATATATATATATTCAGAAGAGACAGAAAAGGAACATTCAACATTAGTTTCATCCAAAGTTTCAATTGCTCAAGGTCAAACATCAATGCCTAAAGTTTCAATTGCTCAAATGAGAGATAGAAAGGGAACAATTTTAACAAAAAAAAGTCACAGCCTTTCATCCACCATCATCTTGACCATTAAAAATCACACAATGCTCTAAATCAATAACCAATTTGGAAACAATACATCAGTGTATGAATGAAGCTATGTTTCACCACCGATTCAAAACATCACAGAAAACCTAAAATATGAACATTTAAAAACTCAGTAAATTAAATCGATTTTCGATTTCACATCATGAAAACAATTCGATTTCTCGAATGTGGAGTGATTTTAGCAACTTTATACCTGACCAACGAAGGAGATCGGAGATCGCCTGTCGAGACCGACGTTGTCGAGGGCGGAACCTGGAGAGGGCGGCGCTTTCGAGGGTGGAACCAGCGAAGTCAGAGCTTGGCGTCGGAGGTCGTAGATCGGCGATGGGAGTCGATTTCATGGAGGTGGGAGTGATATCAGAAGTTGTGTGAAACTTGTAGGTGTGCGAGGTTTACGATGGGGCGACAGTGTTGCGTGAGTCGACGACGGGAAGAGGTGACCGACGATGGGATGAGGTGTTTGGTGATGGGAGGAGGTGGTTCGCGTTGGATTTGATCGGAGGTGGGAGGAGACATGAGAGGATCTAGTGAAGGTGGGTTATGGAATTGGAAGCGTTCATATGAGGGCAATACAGGGAAGGACGCGCATTTTTTTTTATTCAGATATAAGTTTAGGTCTGAAAGTTTAAGAGGATTTTAAGAAATTAAGAGTATGTTATTCATAGGCTACCAAACGCTCTACATCTGAAATATTAAGAGGCTGCCTCTTAATTTCTCAATTAAGAGGCTACCAAACAGCCCCTAAGATGAACTAAGACATGAAATCGAAAATCAAGATTTTTATTTGATCGTGGCTAAAAGGAATTAATAGATCGAACATAAATCAATATGCAAATTAATTTTGCAAACATGGGAATAATCATTTCCAAATGCTTTTAAAACACCCAAGTCTTCGGAAAAACATCCACATAACCCTTTTTTGCCAAGTAGAAAGGCCAATCACATAGCCCGTGTAAAATGAACTATGGCTAGTGTAAAATGAACTATAAACTCACGACCCATATGAACATAAAAGTACAATGCCTTTCCTGACATTTTGCATTTCTCTCCCCACATGTCCATGTAAATAACAATGAAAAGCACACACCGATATGAATCCAAAAGCTTATTGAAATTCTAAAGCAATTTCAAATGTTGTGTGAACTTCTTTCAAATCAACGGAATTTTTTCCAATTCCACCAAAAAACAAAAATGTACCAAGATGATAAAACGATGCAAAGACGTAAATAAACATGCTAAACTATGCATAAAATGCATCTAAATTTCTCTTTGCGTGACGGTTTATTACCTTCATAGTATAATCTTATTGTATTCTCTCTATCTGACAAAATATATTATATATGATTGTATTCTTTATATCTAACATAATATATTATTATACTACAATCTTAGTGTATTCTTTGTGTCCAACAGAGAGTGTTACATTGCTATAGTCTTAATATTGTCATTATTTTAAGGTAAGATAATATCCTCTATCAACGGATAATTTTTTACTTAAAGATAATACCCTCTATCATACAAAGATAATACCCTTTTTGTGATAGAGTGAATACATTAAAATAATATCATCAATGAGATAGAGAAAAATACTATAAAGTTATAGTAATACGATACATTTTGTTATAATAAGATTACAATAAAATAATACATTTTGTTATAATCGACAAAAAAAATACAATGATATTACGACATTATTTTTCCTAAACAAAGAATATAATAAAATAGTAAAATAAAATTATAAAAAAATATAAAAATGCAGCTTTTTTTTAAAATACTATAATTTTGTTCTTTTTTCTAAAAATCTATATATATATATATATATATATATATATATATATATATATATATATATATAGGTTCAGGTGTTTAAAGTAATTATTGTGTTATTGTATGCATAAATGTGGGCCAATCAAAATTTAAAATAAAAATAATTAAATAAATAAATAAATAAGGGTAAATAGGTAATTTGATAATTAGTTTCCACAAATAATATCCTATAATTATGGTAACCATTGACTTCAGCTACCTAGGTTTTCTCCATCCATCGTCTGCTTTTTAAAACCACAATGACGAATTAAAGGGGTGTTTGGCTCAGTGACTCTTTGTGATCCTTCTCCCATCGTCGGCAGCCCCAAAAGGAACAGCGGCAGTGGCGGTCGACAGACAAGAAGGAGGCATGAAGGCAGG